TGATAGTTCCGTTGATATTCCTTTCTTTTGAGTTTCTTCATTCATCAGGTGACAACTCACTTAGGGTGGTAATAGAAGAAGGGTTCTCCATTTGTATAATAGTATATACATGAAATTGTTCTTAAGCGCGTTTGAAAGTACTTAAAGAATAGCTATGTTATAAATTACAAATAAGTTTAAGCAAAAAGATGTTGAAGAAAGATTATGTGAAGAGATGGTATGGCCAGATAAAGGATGGTAAGATATTCAAGGAGAATGCTCTTGGAAGAACAAGCATTATCATAAGCAGTGACAAGAAGAGACTTAACACGGATGATCCAAAGAAGAAGGTGGTAAAGGACTTCTGTGTGACGGATTACAAGAACCCAATGATAGGGCAAAATCTCAATCTGTATGAGGTCCTAAAGCACGGCAGGAACACAGGGCTGCCAATCGATATAGACATATTGGTGGATGATGAAGAGAGGGCCAAGGAGTATGAGAGGATGCAATCAGAGGGCCAATATCCTCTGTTGGATGAGATCATAGAGTTTGCGAAGAGCAGCATTGACGTGATGACATATGAATTGGGCATAGAGGGGCTGCATGTAGACAACGTGATAATATGTGAGTCAAATGGCAGACAGCATGCAGAGGCAAGGTACAAACTATCATACCATGTGATACTGCCAATACACCTTGACTGGAGGTATTGCAGAGACCTTATGAAGATAATCGATGTGCCTGTAACAGAGTTTGAAGTGAAGATAAAGAGACATTTACCAAGTCTACAGAAGAATGTTATAGACATGTCAATCTACAAACAGCATCAGCAATTCAGGCTTATAAATCAATCCAAGATGATATACCACAACAACCAATACATAGTCACACCTACAATCAAGAGGGCCGTCAAACCACAAGGAGAGCCATTCTACAAGTATCTTGTGGGTGAATATGAAGAATCAAACAGGTTCTCAAGGTTTGATCCGAACATATTGAATGGTAAAAAGAAGCCCTTCAATATAAGCCCTCCAAAGCGTGTCAAGAGTCCATCGCAATTAGACAACGGCACGTTCACCTACACAGGTAAGCATACATTGAAGCCTGACATAAATGAACACTTTGTCATGTACCTCATAAAGACCATACAGAATGACATAATCTCAATCAATACATATAACTGGAAGAAGCTGGTTTTAACAGTGACTAATTTCTTGACAGAGACCCCAGAAGAGATGTTCAATGACCTACAGGGTTCAATCCATATCAAATATGAGGACAGGGTTGATGCTTTTCTATCTCTCATGACTGAATGGACGCATCAGGCCTATCTAAATCATTGTCAATATCTAACATGGGACAAGATGACACTTCTAAACAAGTGTAAGGAGTTAAAGGTCAAGAGGTATGGAAGCCTATCAAAAGAGCAGATGATAGAGGAGCTTGAGAAGGTTTGTCCAACAGAGAGAACGGACGATATAGAGATACACAAGAACAACATCAAATCCCTTTATGAGACCAAACTAAGCTCATTATACTGTTTGCTAAACTCATTCAACGAAAATAATGAACAAGAGAGGATAACATTGCAAGAGATGTTGTCAAGACTGAATAGCATGCTCCATAAGTCTACATTGCAATGGGCAGATCCAATCGGTAGCCTTGTAATAATTGCCAAGATGTATGACGAGAATGTTGTTTCATCGTGGCACAGACACAACCTACCAAAAAATACAACAGTCAGTCTAGACTATATCAAGGAGCGGTTCAATGTGCTGTCATATCCCTCATTTGGAGAAAAGATAGAATCAGATAAGACTTTCATAGCTCTATCGGCCTCAATGGGATTTGGGAAGACAGAGTACATGCTCCAAGATATAGAAAACAGCGATGATAATGTTCTGATTATAGTGTCCAACATAAATCTAGCAACCACTCTAAGGACAAGAGTGAATGGGATAATGATGGAGAAATGGCTCCAAACATTCAGTCTGTACAATGACATGACGGTTCCTGATCGCTTCAAGAAAGGACGTCTCATTATCTCAATCCAATCCCTTAGCAAGTTAGAACGCTTCGATTACGACTATATCATAATAGATGAGTTAGATGAGCTCACCAATTCATTGGTAAATCCAACAACCGATGAGAGAAAGAACAAGAATGTTAGAGAGGAAATAGTTAATGTGTTAAATGATCTATTCACCTACAGCAGCCTGAAGAGGGTGATATTTGCAGAGGCTCTATTTAGATTTAGCAGGGCCTCTGTAGATTTTCTATATGACCTATCCAAGAGGTTCAGCAAGCCGGTTGATTTCTATCATACAGATGATATCCGTTTCAAGCAGAGGTACAACCTACGGTGTGACATCAGAAGGTACAAAAAAGAGTATAATAAAGAGCAATACAATGTATCAGAATACTTCTTGAAGAACATCATAAAGGATGTGAAGAATGGACATAAGATATGTGGAGTGGTAGTCTTCAAGTGTAACAAGGAGCGGTTTGAAAAAGAGTTTGATAAGCATGGCATTAAACATCTGATCATCACAGGGGATAATAAAGAAGAACATAACAAATACATCAAAAATCCTAAACTGATCAGCAAACACAACATAGATGTGTGTCTGCACACTTTCACTCTGACCACAGGCTTTTCAGAGGAGTCTAGAGATTACTGGACCAAGAAGGTAATACTTCTTGATGAATTTGGGAGCGTTCCTAATGGTTTTATCCGTACAAACACCATATTTCAAGCATTGCATAGATTTAGGTATGTCAAGGCAGATGCCGAAGGATATCAGAACATAGATATATATTACAAGAGAAATCCAGACTTTGAGCACACCTATGTAAAGTTTAGGAATCAGGTGGTTTCAGAGGACTATCTCAAGCATGTAAAGCATCCTAGCAAGGAGTCTAATTGCAACATGGAGGAGGGCTTTAAAGAGATGTTCCGCAACCTTAGGATAAACAATACAGAGAGGGATCATATCCAGAAACCCTATCTAATAGATTGTTTCAAGTACCAGGTAAGCAAACAAGCCGATAATAAGTTTATAGAAAAAGAATGTATCAGAACCCATGAAGGGATATACTGTGCTATGAAGGATCATGTGGAGGATGCTGAGGAGACAACCGTAGAGCAGGCAATAAACAAAAAGGACATGTTTAAACACCATTCTGAAGTGCTAAAGGCATACAATTACAATTACTTTGACTACATAAACAATAATTTGAAGCATCGAAAGGACAAAGAGAGACAACAGAGAGATGCCTTCTTAGTATATATTTATGATATATATATGCACCGTATGGATGTAGAAGATTATAAGAGGATCATTGAGAAGGTATATAAATCTGTAGGCAATGAGAACATTAATTTTAACATAGTGTCGTCATTGATACAGCTATATCATCAAGAGAAAAACATCATCAAGTCCATAAACAAGTTCTTGGAAAACGACAAACTAACAAGAATGGTCCATAGGATCGTGGAGATATTGGATATCAAGTTTGATAATTTTAATAAAGATACGATCATATCGGGCAAGAACATCAAGATATATGAGAAAGAAATAAATAGTATGTACTATGAGTTCTATATCCAGTTTAAACTCAAGAAAAGCAAGGATGCTGAAAAACCAATATCTAAATTGAATTTCCTGATGTCAAAACTATTCCAAATGGAATTGAAAGAAACAGGGAATAGAAAGAAGTTTACGCATGAAGACAAACGTTTAGATTATTATGATTACACCATGGAGATAGAAGAAGATACACTAAAGATAATAGGTTGTTTTAACTATTGCAGCTGAAAGCGGACGTGAATAGGCCTTTGGATTAGTCCCCTAGAAGATCATAAGTGTATAACTACATGGATAGAGAGATGGCATTGCAGAAGGTGTGTTATGTTGGAAGGCCTTAATGAAAGGCAGGGAGTGGGTTGAAGGGAAGGACTGTCGCATTTTCGAAGATTACCTTTTGGTATATATTATAGGAAGTATAAAACGTAATAGTCGAAAATGCGACAGGGGTGTATAGAATAGAGGGAAGGTTAGTATAGAAAGGATTGATGAAATAAAAAAAGGGTTAAATGACATAAAGCTTTGTTATGAATACAATGGTAAGAATTAAGATGGAGACAGAGCATATTGTACCCTTTGGAAAGTACAAGGGACAACCGATTACAACATTATTGAAGGATATAAAGTATTTAGAATGGTGTAAGCAGCAAGAATGGTTCAAGAAGTTTCCTGTTGTCTATAATATATGTGTAAATCAGACAATAGTCCATCAGAATGAGAACAGTAAGACACCAGAACATAACAAAATTCAGAATTTATTTTTACAAAAGAAGTACAAAGAGCGATTGATAGAACATGTTACGAAGTACAAGAATGACATAGATATGCTTAGAGAAGGGATTCAGAACGAAGACTTCAAGAAGTACTTCAAAGATGTTGAGGACAAATATGATGAAATTGCGGAGGGAGGATGGTCACGTTATTGGATTGAGAGTACTGAATTTGAAGGAAAGTTTAATTGGGATGTTATAATAGAAACAAAGTGTAAAAATAATAGTGAAACACTAAATTTTACACTCAGAGAAGAGTTTTTTGAATTAAATGAGAAACAAATAAGGGATCATTTATGTAAAATCTTTGGATTGAGATCAAATAAATTTTTGATAAGAAAAGAGAAGGAGTTTACTAAGGCATATTACTACAATAGAGAACTAGAATATAATATTTATATTGAGATAAAGCCATTATTAGGAGACGATTATCCATGTGTATTGAGAAGAATGAAACAACAAATAAGATATACAGAACAAGAAGAATATAACACTAGATATATTTTACTCATAAAAGATTATGCTTCATCAAGCACTACAGAAAAGGAGTTGAAATCAATTTTTAAACAGGAAGGAATAAGAATAGTATTTATGCGAGATATAGCATATGATGATACAAGTGAAACACAGCAAGAATTTTCATTAGGGATGAGTGAGTTAAAAGAAAGAGCAAAGAAATTGGAAGAAGAGAATATGATATTGAGAGAGAAGCTAAGGGGATATGAAGAGGTTTCTATATGAAGGCATTATTTATGTATAGAAAACACATGATGAGAGGGGTTATATATGTGAGTACAAAAGCGTAATAGTGTTATTGATCATCTGCAGGATCAAAGTTTAGAATAGATATGAGTGCATAGTGGAGAAACTATTGAAGATAGAGAGATGGCATTGCAGAAGGAGAGAGATTGTGGAAAGGCCTTAATGAAAGGCAGGAGTTGGTTGAAGGGAAGGACTGTCGCATTTTCGATGATTACCTTTTGGTATATATATAGAAAATATGAAACGTAATAGTCGAAAATGCGACAGGGGTGTCTAAAATAGAGAGATAGGGATGGGAAAACCGAATAGATTGTAATTAATGTACCCATACGATCATGAGTGTATAACTACAGGGATACAGAGATGGCATTGCAGAAGGTTTGTTCATAAAAAAGGCCTTGATATAAGGCAGGAGTTGGTTGAAGGGAAGGACTGTCGCATTTTCGATGATTACCTTTTGGTATATATATAGAAAATATGAAACGTAATAGTCGAAAATGCGACAGGGGTGTCTAAAATAGAGGAAGAGGCATATTGGGGAAGATAGGGATGTATGGAAGGCCGAATGGATTGTAATCGATGATAGCAATGATGTTGATGTTTAATATATATGGATCGTGAAGAGAACAATGAAGTGAAACGTTTATATAAGTGAGAAGGGAATAAGAATATATAACAAAACTGTTTAGAAAAAGTTTAGGGATGATAGATCTGAATGATTTACCGGATTGTGCGCAGGAGTTGATATGGGGATACCTAGAGACATGGATAGACGAGATAGAGAGGAAGGTGGAAAAGTTGGAGGAGGAGGTATATGGGTTTAGTTACAATTTCATGAAGAAGAGGGAGCAGAGGAAGAACAGACTTTTGATAGACATACCATTGAGGATATTAGAGAGCAATGGGGTGTTTAGGAGGAGGGGGATGACGAGGGAGAGGGCGAGGGAGGATTTGATAAGACTGTATGATCTGAAGGAGGTATTTTTCAGGATGTATGAGGATGAGGATATGTATTCAGGATGGTATACAGAATTTGATGAGGACTACGATGAGACAT